AATCAGGCTTAATTATACCCTTTGGTGGAAGGATGGGAAGCCCCCTAGACGTTTTAAATTCTTTTTACAAAAAATAAGTTACTTTAAAGAGATAAAAGGATTGGAATATAGATGCATGAGTGAAACTCATTCACACCTAAGTGTAACACATCAGTGAACCTCTTTCCAATTAAGTGTAGTCAAGACATCAATAAACCAGAGAAGGATCAGATCTTCTGGGCGGAGAGCAGGAGTCACTGTTTATGAGCTAGAGAAGCTGGAAAGTTTAGATTACTGCAAAGGAAGGAGACCAGGAGGTTAGGAAGACAAATTCTACCTCCATGGCAAATTTTGCTAGTGATTCATGATGTGTGTCCATCTGTCTCCTCCACTAGCTTGTGAACTCCTTGAGCCAATTACTATGCAGCACCTAGCATGGGGCCTGGCGGGTGCAAATGGTAAGCACTAAATCATTCTTCCTCAATTAGAATTTTAGTTGCAAGCTGGTGGACAACTGTGTGCAAATGCATTTTCGCTTTTCTTGTCCATCCAAGCAGATGTACTAATGGAACCCTCCCTCTCCTGGGGCTCTGGAGTGTCAGAGTCTCCTTGTCAGGCTGAGCAAAATACAAAGCTCCTGTCTACTCAGTCAGGTGATGGCAAACAAGAAAAAAATTTTTTTAAATTTCGTGCTCAAAATTCTTATAATTTAAACTGTGAGGCCAGAATTTTTTGCTTATTTCTATTACTCAAAGTATACCTCGGGATGTCCACAGTGGAAAGTGTCTAGTACACACTGCCTGGCAAATAGTGATCAATACATTTTTTTCAAATGAACAAAGAAACAGTCAAATAAGGTGACCCCTCCAAATTCAAAATAACAGAGTACAACCAAAAAAATTTAGAGTATAGATGAAGACTACACTATAATATTATTCTTAAAACTTTGCCAAAAGTTTAGAAAAAAACAGATCTATTATAAAAAATAATTTGAATATAATTTAACATAACTGGATCTGACAGCAATTGGAGTTTAAAAACCAATCAAGAATCATTGTATTCTCTTTGGCGTATTAGGTTGGACAGAAGGGGAAATTGCTGTTGTCTTGACCAGACTGAGAACTGGCCCTTGACCTTTAAATTATTTTCACTCTGGATTTTTGTTTTGTTTTGTTTATAGCCCGCTGGCCTTCTAGCAATACCCTCATCTCAGGTGTTACTCCTGGTAACTACAAAACAATGAATAGAGTCTCGAAATAGTCCAGCAACATTTGATGTTTAAAACAAACTCTGGAAAGGAATAACAAAAAAATTAAACAAACTCTGCCTTTTTCTGAAAAAGATAGCTAAGAGTGCCTAATACCTAATGCCAATAAGCCTCCTCCTGGCCTCCATCGGTGAGAAAAGCCAGGGTGTGGGGCTACAACAACATAAGCAAGACCCTAGCAGCATCAGACCGTTTCAGAGAGCCAGGCTGGTTCTCTCCTGTGGAGTTTGCTCTTCTCTGCTGTCAGTACGTCATCTGAAATCAGTAAAGCTTCCTGTAACACAGTTTTCCAGTTCAAGATCAAGCTTCTACTTTAGGGCGCTTTGATTTTAGGTAGTTTCTAACTAGGGCTCTCACTAAAATGAGTTTGTGATTTAGTCTAAACCACAAGAAGGATCAGATGAAATTATCAACAGAATGTGTCCCCACCTCGCCCCGTAGATAATGATCTATTGGAAATAAGGATTAAGATAATCAGCTCTGTTTTGCATGATTGATGGTGTTGATTCCAGCCATCTCCTCTGATCAATACAGGCTATAATTTTGTGGCATTAATGAGAAAGGACTGAATAAGCAGCTCCCCTTTCACTGGGCAGGTTTGTTGCCGTACAAAAGACCAAAGTCTTCTGAACAGCAAACTCCCGTCCCATGATGGTAGATTGAACTCGATTTCTCGAATCCATCTCTAGATTTCAGCAAGTAACAGATTCATCAATTTTTTTTATTCTGAGGCATTTCACTTTCCTCTCTGAATTTCACAATTTGTCTTGATTAATGCTGATGTCCTGAACATGGTTGCCATGAAGTCATATACCCTGCAAAGAGCCAATTGGAGCAATAATTCATGTATCTCCTAGAGAAAAGTTTTTTAAAACTCTCAGTGCAATACTGAGTGGGCTAATCTTCTGTGATAGCCTGATGCTTCTTTCAGAGGGTCGTTTTCCATGCATTTGCTCTTGTGTAGGAGTTTTTCCTATTATGTCATTTAAAAGAAGCAACGTTCTTGCCTCAAAACTCCATACAGACAAAGGCTATAGCTATAGATGAAGTAGTTTTACAAGCTAATTATTAGCATTTGAAAGCAATATCTTATAAAGTTTACCTCACTATCCCACAGCAATTTTTATAACTACCTTTCTCCATTTAATAAAATTTAAATATGAATATGTAATAAAATGTGCTAGTATCTGTGCGCTAACCTTTTAAGCTGTTATTTACTCAACTAAACTCAGTAACAATAATCTTCATTTTCTATTCTGAGCACCTAAACCAATGTTTGGCTTGTAGTGTTTTTAAAAATGTCATCCAAATGAGTCTCAGAATGTCTGGCGAGAAGGCCTTCTCTGACTGCTCCACTAGGTGGCACCCAGGGACCGCGCTTTACACATTTAGCCGCCACAGACCCTCCCATTCATGGTGTTATAATAAAGAGATGCATTATTAATTTATACCATCTCGTCCTCTCTACACCTCATAATTGTTTAACCAGCTGTTTCCTCTAATCCTCCTTAAACACTGTTGATTAAATTCTAAGTATATTCAGGTCTCCACCCCTCCCTACTTCCCCCAACAGCATTTTGTTACCTTTACATGACAGGCAATGTACATTTAAATGACATAGACTAAGTACTAAGGTTACTAATAATGGCTACAGGATGTCAGATAATTAATTTTAGCAATAGGAGACTATTATATAAAAGTTATTTTCAAATTTGCCTTGCATTTTGCTGGAATTTTAATTGGCCGAATGTTATTATCTTTAAAATGAAATCTGGAAAATAAAATATGCATGAGGGCCAAAAGAAAAAAAAAGAAAGTGATTTTATGAATATAACTTTTGTTCATCTTTACAACGATGAAGTGCAGTGCTACCTTAAGATTTGAAAGAATTCTTTAACTGCTCAGAAAACACCAACATTCCACACCCGAGATGCTAAAAGGCAGGATTGTTTGGTAGACGGTCTCCTCATAAAGTATCTCTCTGCGTCCTCAAATGTACAGTATTTATCCTGGATGCATTACTTGTTCCCAAAGGGAGAAAAAGGAAGTTAAACCACTGGGGACATAATGAATTGATTCTTCTCTGTGAAAAGTCTCTTCAGTACTTCTAAATTACAGTGTCACTCATTCCTCCGAGAGACAGGCCCTTGCTGAAAAATAAATGGCTCACTTTATAAGAACACCGTGTTTCCTCCTTCCTTATTTCCCACAGAAATTCCAGGCCCACCAGGACACGCCTGTTTGGAATACTGGCCTCTGGGTACATTCCTCCTTAGGACCAGTGGTCTATTGAGATTGTTGGTTTCTCTCACTCATTTAATTAGCTTTAAGCAAAGTTCCTTCTTATCTATTCCTCCTATTTTCAAGCTGTTTCCAATTAAGTGAAGAGGTCACACACACAAAAAGTATATACATATATAAACTCATTCTCTTAGCTGAAACAATTAAAATTTTAAGGTCAGGTTGTATAAAAGTGACTACAGATTAAAGCCTAAATGCCCAATTGTTCTCTGGCATACATTTTATGTCAAAGGAAGGAAAAATTTCTTACATTTGTATAAATAAACGGAATCAGAGTCAAGAACTGTTGTAAGAATTGAGGCATGTTAAAAGTTCCAAAGAGAACTAATATGATATATTTTGGGTAGAACAATATTCCCACTTTATGATGGCATTAAAATATTGAAGTCACTGAAATGTGTATGAAATTACTGCAAGTTTAGGACACTGAAATAATCAAATAGAAATGGTTACCAGAAATTACATTTGTAATGAATAAATATGACATTCAGTTAGAAATCAATTCACAGGCTTCATTTCTTAAGAACCGTTAGCTTCCAAGAAGCCGGCCAGAATGTTTGATTTTATGACATCACACTGGAACACGCACAGGAACACTTTCCACCGTCCAACTGCCCAAATGTCCTGACCACTGTGTGTATTTTTCCAGTGATAAATGAAAATAAAACAACTTATTTTCAAATTAATAAACCATCTTATTTCAAACACAACAGTCATATTCAATGGAAGAAAACTACTTCATCTAAGCTCCAGAGTTCAGGTTTGCTTATGGTGGTAAACAGTCTCAACCTATGAATAATTCCTTTAAGTAACTTTTAAAAGTAATCGAAGCTGTGGCTTTGCATTTTTTCAGTGCATTAAAATTATTGGTCAACATCACTTTATATATGAAATGCATCATAATTCCACAATCTAAATTTCATAATTACCTATACAAGCCTGGACCAAAAATGGTAATATTTCAAAGATTATTGATCTAACAGGTATTCCCTATGACTTAAGTAATTTTCTTTTCCCCATAAACCTGCATATCGACTAAGACAAAACTCATAAATCAGGATGGTCACACCCATTCCTCAGCTCTTCCTTCAGCTTATAGGATCCTTTTATCATCTCAGGTACCATAAAAATGCTTGTTGAAATACAGATGGAAAAGTCACCACTTGGAAACCATGAACCTACCAGATTTTGCATTAGCAAAAGTCAGGATACTGTAGGTAATTCTTTCCCCAGTTCTAGACTGAGTCTGTTTACTGCAACACAGTATTTTATCTCACGATATGGGCCTTTTAAAAACGTTGAGGCGTCATGTTAAATTCAAATGAAACTAACAAAAAAATAAAAAAGAAGAAGAAGAGTTGTTGAATGAATACAGGCATCACACAGGTCCGTGAGAAATCTTAAAGGCACCAGGTATGGCCGAAAGAGGGGGGAAAAATTCTCGAAGTTTTACCTTGTCCTGAAATCCAAAAGTTCAGATGCTTTCAAGTCCTGCTGAAGTTGGAAGCTGGAGATCAAGTGAAGCTATGGCAGTTTCTCCTCACCTTAAGTTTGTCTCTGGGCAGTGTGTGCGTGTGTGTGTGTGTGTGTGTGTGTGTGGAGAGAATGTCTCTCTGTGGCGCTGGATGGCAGAGGTCCTGATCCTGGGAAGGAGGCACTTTCTCACCAAGAGCAGAAGCAAAGCAGAGCGTCACCAGGAAAGTTCTCCTCCCAGATCCCTAATTACAGCCAACGTGCACTTCATGCAAACTTCAGGGAGGGCGGGAAGGGCAGGTCCGTGCCCAGACCTTGTAAAACAGCAGCCTTGGAGATGACTTTCCCCTCTGCTCCGATCCCGAGTGTCCCGCTCTGGGGTTCAGGAAAACCGGCCGCTACCAGCCCCCACCTCCCGCACCCTCAGCACCCTGGGTCTGCCAGAGGGGCCGGAGGAAGGGGTCTGTAGACTGATCACAGGCCAGTTGTTAAGAGGCCGACTCCCCAGGACAGCCCATTTACGCCTGGTTTTGTAGCCTGGGCTTAAAAGGCAAAGCCACGGGTCGGAGAAGTTCTCCCTTTCCCGCCTTCTCCTCCCCAGAGTAGACCCGGGATACCAGATAGACAATTATAACAGCACAGCGAGCTTCCCCAACCGGCGGGGTCTTTCCACCACCACCACCCCCAAAACGTATTTTCTTGTTTAGGGGAGTCGGGACAGGTACTGGGTTTAATCTGCGTTAACAAACAACTGCTATTGTCTCTCTGGATGACAGAGCTCAAAGAACCTGGATTTATTTATAGAATGAGGAATGCGAGGGGGAGACGGGCTGGGTGGGGTTGGGTCATGGATCCAGACCCAGAATTAGAACCAGATGGGCACAGGGCGCGCGGGCCCGTGCTCCCCCCACCCCGCACACACAGGGCCCTAAAATAACCACGGGGGAAGATGCTGGGACACGCGGGAAAACGCCTTCGGAACAAATAGACGTTTATTTATAACTCCGGGAAGAGTATATAGGTCCATTGATTCCCGCCTTGAGTAACCAAGGGTTTTGGAGAGGAAATGGCTTCATATTTCAATAACAGAGCCACCTTTGATGGAGCCTAGGAAGAGGGAAAAAAGAAACACACCGCAGGAAGCAAACGGCTGTGGGAGCAGCCGGGAGGAGGGAGCGGAGCTGGCCCGGGGACTGAGGACAAGCAAACAAGCCCGAGGCCCCCGGCCAGGAGGCGGCGAGACCCAGGAGGCCAGCCCGCAAGGCGCAGGGCGCGGGGGGCGTCCGGGGATCCCCGCCGCGCCGCACCGGGACGCGCAGGGGCTGCGGGCGCCTCGGGACTGTCGCCGCCGCTGACGCCGGGCTAGAGGGGCAGGGGCGACACGAGGGGGTGCAGGTGGGACGGACTGGCGAGCAGAGAGCTGGGGAGGCGCGGGTGGGCAGGGGCACTGGAGGGTCGCGACGCGCACCGAGTGGCGCGGTGGCTGCGAGCGGCGCTATTGTCTCAGACATAAAGCCCAAGCCTCAGTGACTGCCTCCTCCTGGCCTCCGCCGGGGAAGGTGGTGGGTGGGGGCGCCTCTTCCCGCCCGTCTGGCGCATTCCGCGATCTCCCTCCGGGCTCGCCGTTGTCGTTAGGTCTTTGGAAAATGGACACGTGCTTCTTTTATTCCAAAGACAACCCCAGACAGACCCTCACTAGACGGAGATAATTGTACTCGAAATGAAATAATGAAGGCTGAATCCTTCAACATGCAGCTCAACACCTTTTCTGGAATTCCGAAACTGGGCAAGGCGTCTCTTTTCATATTTCCCCGTCTCTGCCCCCGCGGACCGGGCCATTCTATGGCGTTAATTTAGCGGCTATTGAGATGGCTGTAATGTAGGCCTCTACATTTACTGCCAATAAAAACAAGATGCAGCTCTGCCTTTCAACTGCGAAGGGAGTTTTTATGCTGTTTCTTGTAAACGTTCAGGGTGGTGTGTATTTAAAAGAACATAAAGGAATTAGAGAAACAAATACACAATTTTTATATCAAAGCGCCATAAAGGTGGCGAGGCTGGTGGTGCGTGGCTGTAAAATCATGCACCGACAGTTTCAGTATTGAACTTGTTCCCTCAGCTTAAAAACCTCTTTTTCAGTGGTCGCCTGGGAAGTAAATGAGTTCCTTATTTTTGTCCTCTGGTCTATATACTAGTTCAGCAGAGGCATTAAGAGAATGTAATGTTTTCGCATCAGAAATTGTTTACAACACAAGACAACCTGTTTTGCAACTTTGTTACATCAAGGTAAACTACACTAGAATTTTGTTCCATTTCAGTAGTAACCCCATCCCCTGGAACTTACTTTCAGAAATCATACCAGCTACTTACCTCTGCCACTCCTGGCAAGAGTCCTCCCATCACTCCTGCTCCCCACCATTTCCCCCCCTCCCCAGTTGAGGTACCTAGTCTTTGTTAAAAGATCCCCAGTCTTTAATTACAAGTGTTTAACCTGTCAGTGGTGTGTGTTTTAAGTTTTATTCAGGTTTAATTTAATTGACATTGTATACATTTCCATTCATGTGGAGGTTCATATGGTTTGCTAATTATTTATAATTCACATTGGAATTAGCATTAAGAGTCTTTAAAAAGATTTTCATGTTTAATTAATTAATGTTCAGCTAAATAGTGCTTTATAGAGGTATACATTACTTTGGTTAGCCATTATAATTTTTCATCAGGGCAGAAGCATTCAAAGAAGCCATGGTGAAAAATACAAATTTATTTTCATGACTTTAAATATGTTACAAAGGTGTATATTGTAAAAAGAAATTAAGAGATCCAAATGCCTTTTCAACGAAAAGCATGCCAAGAAAGTATACTATATTTGAAGATTCCCTCTATTTATTACCATTAGTAATTCATGTGGAAACTCTTATTTTTCATTGCATATTGAAATTTGTTTTTTGTGTGCGGGGGTGGGTGGGTGGTGGCATGCTTATTTAAAATTTGAAGATGGCAGGGAGGCCAGCTTTTTAAAGTTCCAGTAAAAATAAAATATTTGCTTCCTTATTAACTTTTCAAATGATTTATGTCTAGAAGAGTAGACACAAATTTAGATCTAATGGTTGTACACACACACACATAAGTACATTTTGGAAAGGTATGAGTTGGTGCCATACACAACCATTTTATAAGAATGAAAAATCTGTCAAATGGTGTTATAGAAGATAACTTTGCATTCTTTCACTAACTGTAAGACAAAATGATAACAACACTGAGCCAGATAAAACGGAATATTCAACCTGCTTTGACCTACCAAAAGAAGTGATTCAGCTGTTTTTACCTTACACAAATTTGAATTTGTGCATAGTATAAATGTAGCAAGAATATTCTCAACATTTAAAATTATCGATCCAAAATATCATGAATCTTTAATAATAAATCCCCAAGACAAATGGTCTTTCTCCTGGCATATTACACTCCTAATGAAATATACATTTATATTCAAAAGGAAATTATCTGAATTCATCTCCTCTTCAAACTCGGAAAGAAGCTGCTCAATTATCCACTAAATTCCAGAGAATTGCTTCCCTATTAACTCTTGTTTCCTGGAATTTTTGCCTCAGGCTAATATTATACCTGGTCAAACATCTCCTAGGATAAAAGTGCAGGTATGCGTACTTTGGAGGTGGTGGGGGAAGCCATTTGACCTTTCCTGTCTAAGGGCTCAGAACTTCATTTAAGCACCCCTTGGGATTGCGGGCACAACCATGAGAAAGACATCATTTGTAATTAAGTCCTTCCCACTGGCTATATTCCTGTTGAACTCAATGATTAAAATACAAATTCAATATTCTAAGTAGTCACAAAGCATTTGATGAAAGGTTATTTTGCTTTTAATGCAATGGGGGGGATGACTTTTCAAGGGCCTACTTTTGTGCTCACCCTCAGAAAGTGTCCTGCAGACAGACCCTTCAAAAGGGCAAACTAAATAATTAGGCAATAAATTGTTCAAATGGTAAGAGCAGAGCTGTGTCCAGAAGCTAGTGAGGCCAGATGATGATCATACCAGGTGATAAATACCCTCCGCTCCTGAGAAGTGAGCAGGACCCCAGGCTTGTGTGTGGAGCTGGTTTGGGTTGTACAGCCTCACCCCTTCCCTTCCTTGTAACTGATTGTTCCCTCCCTGTATTTCTTTCACCCAGAACGCCCAGACCTTTCTTTTGTTTATCAATAAGTTAGTGTTTCCTTATTCTCCAGATTCTGCTCATTTTGCTAAGGAGCCCAGATTCCCTCTCATCTTCTTAGTCATGCTGTCTTGGGGGGCTCTGTTACTGGGAAGCCTCTTCCCCCATCACCATTCCATATTACTGACCAGAGTGCTCCCCTTGTATTTTTATTCACATTTTCATGGATGTAGTTCTTTATCAGGTGGACCCTAAAATCTCTGAGGCCGGATATTCTGTCCTGGCTTCTTCAATTTCTAGCACAGTCTTGCTGTTAGAAGCTGATCAAAAGATGTTTATTGCTGTTTTGAAGGTGATTTTTTTTATATGCAGGAGAGAAAATAAAAATAAATGAGGAAAGTCAGTTATTGAATGAACTCGTTTGGAGCATTTTGCATCTAATAACCAAAGGCATAAATAATCAATCATCAAAGCTTGATTAATAATGTTATCATTGTTATTGATCTCATAGAATTAAAAGAAAACATAATGCATATTTTTCTTCCATGCTTGGCTGATGAGTGATTATATAAAGTTAATCAACGAAGGTAAAATGTTTTACTCTCTTAAGAAACTAAGTTCAAAAGAAATAAAAACCCAGAAACTAGATTTTGTTTAGTGACAAAACAGCGTTATTGACTTAGAATTATAGCAGCAGTCACTTAAATACTGATTTTTTTTGCTTGTGTTTATATAGTTTTTTTTATAGTTAAACCAATTATAATTATCAATAAATGCAGTCCTCATTGCATTTTCTTCTTGCTCTTTTTTTCTTACAACCTTCAGAGAGAGGGTTGCCAAGTCTAATTGGACTGTAGTGATTTGTATATAGATCTTTTTAGGGTAAAAATGGGTGAATTAGCTAATGCATCAGGGTTGGCGCAGAGCAGGACTACTCAGGAAAGTCTGAAGTGTAGGGCTTTGATTATTTGGAAGTGAAGGAAAATAGTCTGGAGCTGTCAGAAAGATAGAAAGACAGGAGTATATTGTACTGGAAGCCCAGGAAGAAGAATTTTGAAAAGGAGAGATTAGTAAAGTTTCAAGCCTAG